TATTTATTATCATGAAAGGCTTTCAAAACTTTTGGTAGTGTTTTCTTACTGAATCATCTCTTGATGCACGTGTTGTGTCGGATGGTGATTTCCCACGTGTATCTGCACGCAACAAAAAGGATTCCAGGGGGCAGAGGCAGCTCTCAGAGTAAGAGTGCCTGCTGTACATCCAGGAATGTTGGAGTCTGGATTACGGCACCCAGGTAACAAGCTGGGCGTTGTGCAAACACCAGTAACCCCAGCTCTCAGTGGTCCTGATGCCATCTTCTGACGTTTGTGTGTATGAGCTTGCCTGTATCCACTCATATAAACACATCATATACACACAAAAATACAGCTTTAAAAAGTAAAGGTGATTCTGAACTACTGACACAGCTTACAGCTGTGAGATGGGTGTGGCCTGTTACTCCTTCAGCTGTGACCCTTATAAGGTGAGCGGGGTCAGCAGGCACTGCATGGAGTTTGTTAGATCCACATATGCTGGATCAGAGGATCTGTGTGTGAGATCCGAAGTTGGAGTAAGAGCTTTCAGGACACTTCTATTGCACACTGAGGTTGAGAGAATAGCTCACCAGATCTTTAAGAAGTTAATAAAGTTTTGTATTAAGGATATATTTTAAAATAAGAATTTTGTCATAGTGCATGGATGCATTCAATATGTTATTCTCAGACCTCAGTAATTGGCATGTCTATCATGTCTCATGTGTTAACTTTAAAATAATTTGTACAAACATCTGACTATGTATTTTATTAAGATTGAATGTTCTCTAATTTGAATTTTCAGAAATCAGTTCCTTTTTCCCAGTACTGGTTATGTTCTTAAAACGTGTGATGTTATGTAATTCATAGTACTTGGCTTTTATGAGTGGACGTGTGGTGTGGGACTCCAACTTTGTATTACTGGATTGTTGGAATGAGTGATGTTTCTTCGCTAGTTCTGTAAAGACTTGCTTGGCTGTGGTGCATGCTGGGAAAATGCAAGGTATCGATTGTTCTGATCACTGGCTTCAACAAGATCCAAAATAACTGTGTAGGATGCTTTCTTAAATCCTGTGCCGTCAGGTTGGATATAAAATTACAATAATTATGAATTTGAAACACTTGGGCAGAAATGACTGAATGTGTAATTTTCACTTTGGCCATCTAATTATATGCTTTTAAATATGTTTTACTTGCACGTGAAGGATGTTTACGTGACACACTTAGGGATTTATTCATCACCAAGGCAGATGAGGCTGCCTTGGTGATGAATAAATCCCTTTGATCTAATAAATGTCAGTATGCAGGACCTTTTTCCTGGTTAGTGGCATTGCAGCTTGGTAACACCATGACCAAAAGCAAAGTCGGGGAGGGAAGGGTTTATTTGTTTCCACATCACTGTTCATCTCTGGAGGAAGTCAAACAGAGCAGGGACCTGGAGGCAGGATCTGATGCAGAGGCCAAGGAGGGTGCTGCTTACTGGTTTGTTCACCTTAGATTGCTCAGCCTGTTTTTATAAACACCCCGGGATCACCAGCCCAGGGGTGGCACAACCCACCGTAAAGGGGGCCCTCCCCCATCAATCACTAGTTATGAAATGCTTCAGCTGTGCTTGGAGGCATTTTCTTAATTTACGTTCATAACACACACACACACACACACACACACACACACACGCACGCACGCACGCACGCACGCACGCATGCACACACGTACACACATGCCACACTCTCTCTCTCTGGAGACAGAATCTCTGTCCTAGAACTCATTATGTAGATTTAGGCTAGTCTTGAACTCACAAAGCTCCATCGGCCTCTGCCTCCCAAGCGCTGGAATATATACTTTTTGTTTAATGCTTTGCTTTTCTGTAAACTTCTGTTTTAACTTTACTATGGTATGTATCTCCAAAGGTGAAAAGTTAAAAAAAAAATCACACATTTTCAAAAAAGTTACTCATTTTTATTTAATAATTAATATTCATTTATTTTCGAAAGACATTCCTCTATAAGTAGCATTTCTTGAATTTACCAAGTGAAGGAATCCTCAGGCTGAGTTGACTTGTCCTGTAGTAACTTTGCTTAAAAGAAGGTTTTGCACTGGACAGACTTTGTCATTCCACCCATGACTGCTATGGAGAATTGGAAAGCACGGGGTTAGTTTTCCATGAAATAGGTGGAATTTAGATGGGCACACAAGTATTCATATTGGGGAAATATTCTGGGGTAAGTTCTCTTTTACCCTCAGCCAAGAAAGCTCCAGGTTTAATTAGCCAGCTGTGTGATGAGGCCAAGAGCCTCTCCTGCATTCACTGCAGTTTCCTTGCAGGTAAAGCACGCTTGGAGAAAGCTGTAATCAGAGGGCTGGAGAGATGGCTCAGCCATTAGAGCACTGGCTGCTCTTCCAGAGGCCCCGCCTTGGTTCCCACCCTGGAGGCTCACGGCTGTCTGTAATCCAGGGTTCCCGGGGAGTCTTTGCTCTCTTCGGACCTCCATGGGCACCAGGCACATATTTAGTATGTGTACACACATGCAGGCAAAACACTCACACATAAAATAAAAATAAATATCGTTTAAACAACATATTTGTGCACAAGCAAAATACGAAGGGTTAACTCTGGTTTTCAAGATGTATAATAATAAACTACATATTTAATTCATCTTTGAGCTTCACAGAATCAAAGAGATTTTATTCTTTTATGGAAATTAGGAAGTTTAGTATAATGCACACTAGTGTCTTTAGTTTTTTTTTTTTTTTTTTTTTTTTAGTTTTTGTCTCTTATTAAGGGCCAAAAAAGATGAAATATCAAATGACAGGATTTTTCTTTATACTTAAAAACCACAGTTTAGAAACACTTGTGCTCGTATACAAACAGTAATTCATTGCCATCTACAAGTTTGCTGACTTAACAACGATTTGTGTACGTATGATGTTACTGTGTGAGGATGGGGTGGCATGTTCTTCCCGTCAGCAGCAGTGAGCGCTTGTGGGAGGGAGTGGGGTCTGCCTGGACTCTGTGTGCTGGAGGGGGCACAGTGTCCCCTCATTACCCCACAGCCCAGCAGCAGCTCCCATCCCCTCCTCCCACAAGAGCAGCAGAAAATCTGGCCTGACAGATCAGACTGTGGATCTGGAGTAATCCTCGGGGAAGAGAACCCAGGCTTTGTTTGAAGTGACAAAATCGTATTATTTTTCTCAGATCTATTGTTCCCCTGAAAGGTTGCCACAAACGTGTAGCTGAAATGTAACCACGTAAGCAGTGACTAAGTTAATCCATCTCAAAATGTGGGAGCGCATGATTCTAATGCAGTTTTGCACGCTGCCGAAGGATGAGATTTATTTAATGAAAATAAACAGGATATTTTCCACTCAATGATTAATCCAGTAAGCCTTTCATACAGTCATTTGTTTTCCTTCTGTGAAAATGTAGCATATATAGAAAAGAATGAATGAATTAGCAAGGATGCATGAAAGGTAGGTCGGGCGTAGCACACTTAGCCAACAGTAACAGCAAAAGTAAGGCTGAATTCACAGCAGGTAAATATCCCAGGCTCAGACTTAGTCTAAGACACCCAGCCACATTCTAAAACAGCAACAGACTCTAAAGTTATGGGTGATGAAAAGGGATAGTTAGATCTCTGTCTTGAAGCCCACGCCAAGCTTTGTGACTAGCCTACCTCAGTGGATGATTTGGTTTTTTTTTTTATTATCGTTAATTTACTGTCAGACTTTGTTCGTGAAGATTCTCCCGTGTGCTTTTGTTTTATGAGCTCTCAGTTTTGGTAAAATTGCCACATGAACCTATACAATTCGGGATGTAATTGTCCAAGGGTTTTCACTCAATCTTTGATGTATTTCACATTAACTTCTGAAATGTAAACATTTGTTTTATATGCCTGAAGACAAACAAACCATTTGATGCTGTCCATCATAAATTTCCAATATGCTGTTTTATGCAAGATGTCTACACGGCTTATTTATATTGATTTATTGGAATAGCTTAATTCCTTAATTATTATTGAGATGACATTTTTGTGGGAAGCATGCTTTGTTTTTAAGTACAAACAATCCTATTTGAACTACACGTGGAAGGTACTAGAACAGCTAGCTCATGCTTAAAATGTTATTATCCATCTGCTGGATTTTGGAGTTAACGTTCAGAAATTTTGCTGTGGCTGCCATGGACTGGCTACACCGAGTCCGGGCTGTGTTCTCTGGGGTCTTCCACTCGGGTGGAGTCTAGACAGGCAGCGCTTAGTACGCCAGTTCTGTCATGGTTTTCTGCAGCGCTTTGCCAGAAACGCTATTAGCCCACTGTTAATTACCCTTCCAAAAGTCATTTGTAACATTCAACTTTGTTTTTGGCAGAATTAAGTACATGGCCAAAATATTTACCTGTACTCATACACCATCCTTTACCACCTTTAAAAAAGACATTTGAGAAATATGGAAATAACCAGCTTGTATGAAAGTGTTGATTTATTATACTGTATCTAAGTCAAATTTATTTTAAAAAGTCTGTCAAGTCTGCCTAGTAGCTTACCTACTACTCAAAAATTACTTTAGAGTTTAAATATGAGTATTTAAAACTGATACAAACAAAAAATGACTACTGACATAATATCTTCTTAATTGGAATTTAGGATGGAATTTTAAGGCAATATGCTTTGGTTTAGTCTCTGAGATTGTGTTTAATTATAGTTACTACTCACTACTTTTATATTTTTGTTTTCAAGCCAAGACTAATGTTTTTATAAGTAGTTAAGTTGAAAAATGTATTGTAGAAAGTTAGACTCCAAGACATGCAAATAGAATGCTAAAAGGGATGATTTTTAGTAACTTGATTAAGTTATGATTTTTTTTGTGACTCTGTTGCTAAGATTATTTAAACCCAAGTGTCAAATATTTAATTTTATATAATATAAATTAACCTTACAATTGTGTTAAAATATCAAAATCGATCATTTAAAGAATATTAACATCTTCCTCTGTTTCTTTTAATAATATATGTCAATTGTTTGCAGGTCCTGTGGTATTATGGAAATTCCCAGAGGACTTTGGAGACCAGGTTGGGAACATAATTTAAAACATTTAAGTTGAAACACTACAGTATTACTATGAACTGCTGATATTGTACATGAGTAGCTGCAGTTATTTTTCATGGTCAACTCTGAGAAAGAAAAAGTTGAAGAATATACGGGGGGGTGGTGGTGGTTTAAATGACCAAGTCAGTGAGTTAAGAAGCACTTACACTGAGAGCCTTGGCAGCTGGGTGCTGGAGCTGTGGCCTTAACATAGTTTTACAATATCACCTTTGGGATATATATCTGGGGACAAGAAAAAGCTCTCGGTCATAAAAACTTGATGATATTATTTCTGTATACTTAGAAATAAGTATAAGTGTTAGTAATACGTAATCAGTTTTTAGAAGTTGAATTTGGGAATATTTCCTTATTTCTAAATACATTTTATTACTTTATTTTCTTAGAAAGCTAAGATAGCAGAAGGAGACTGCAGGATGAATCTGTGGTTGGCTTTTTACAGCTTTCTGTAGTTCCTTAAATATTTACTATGGCCAAAATGTACGTGCCTAAAAAGCAGTGAAATAATAACAGTCTTATCACTGTTAAAATGAGAATTTCACCAGCTCATACCTTCAGGTCTCAGGTATGACTCCCATAGTTTGCAAAAAGTAAAACTCATGAAAGTACATCTTTACAATTATTCATTCAGAAACAGTATGCATGCTTTTGAATATTGTGAAAGGATAATTTTCTAGTTGAGGTCGTCAACCCGAAAGATGGAAGTTAAGAGGAATGGCCTGTTAGATACTGATTATGTCTTTTGCCCTTGACCATGGCTTCAAAGAAAAAGAGGGTATGCATTCTTAAGGTGTTTTTAGCCTTTCATGAGCATGGATTCATAAATACCATAGCATTCTTAAGTAACTTAAGTGTCTGCAGTGGAGGGGTGACTTTTACACAAGAAGCTGAGCTGAGCGTCTTCCTAGTCCTGCAATGATTTTGGACTCTTTTTTACCAGTCTGCAATGTTTACTTTTATCTTTGCGGCTGTCTTTCGTCCACTGATGTACAAGCAACCCCTTGTCCCTTTTCAAGTGTTTTTGCATTATTTTTATCTCTCCCTTTAAAACGGTTCCTTAGACATCTCGGGGTCCTTAAAACTGTGGGGTCATGTATGAAGGCACATACTTGCCAGTCCACCTGGGCAGACTTTAATGTGGTTACCTGTTGCTTGGCTAATAAAATGCTGAATGCGTGTTTTGGTATCATTTAGTCTAAACCAGAGGAAATTCACCGTGTAAGTGGCGGCGAACTCCCACAAACCCGGGGAACCCATGCACTTCAGTTCTCAGTCTTTTGGTTTTGTCTTTTTGAGCACAGGTTCTCACTGTGTGAAGCCTTGGCTGGCCTGGAACTTGCTTTGTAGACCATTCTGGCCTTGAGCTCACACAGATCGCCCTCCCTCTGCCTCCAGAGGGCTGGGACTAAAGGCGTGCACCATCCTCCCAGTATTGAAATTTTTATTAGCATTTATTAATTGTACGAAATGCCACACTTACGTGAGATTTCGCGGTACGTATGGTACACTTTGATTATCTTCAGTCCCCTGCTACCCTCCTCCCTTCTCCGGCTTCCAAGACCTCCTTCTACTTTCATACATTATTCTTTAATTAGCATTGTTAATATATGCATGCATATAAATGTGAGACTACCAACTGCCACATCAGTGTAGTGGTTCCGTATGTATGTTTTTAGTGCTGACCACTTGGGATTGGACAGCGAATCAGGGGCTCATCCCTGGGGAAGACTGATTCTCTCTCTGAGCAGTCAGTAATTGCCTGTAGCTCTTAGTCTAGTAGTGGGGCTTCGAGAGACTTCCCTCTTCTACATTGGCATGCTGACTTTATTGTCAAGGACCAGGTCTTGTTTAGGCTACCACATTGCTGAGATTTCACCTCAGTCTTAAAACCCAGCTTGGGAATTAATGTTTCTAAGGCCTTCTCAAGCTTCGACACAGCCACCAGTGTGTAATTTCTTAGTTTCTTTTGTGTCTCAAAACCATCTTCCCTTCCTCTTACCCAACTCTCCCTCCCCCCCCCACCCCAATTTTTTCCACATGCCGCTGTGGCTGTCTCTTAATAGAATGCGAATAAATGTTTGTTTAGTCCAGTGAGTGACATATTAAATAAAGTTGAGTAGACTCATGATAAGTTGTCAGGTAACTAGTGTTCTAGGAAGCATAGGTCAAGAGTTCTGGGAAAGCCTCAGCTTGGAAAGAGTTCAAGGGCTATGCCCTTGAGTTTCATTACAGTATGAATGAAAGATGAGGCTTTTGCAGCTTGCAGTTTGGAGTGCTCATCACTGACTCACGCGATGAGCTCCTGACCACCACCTCCTCCTCCCTTTCATTTCCTTGGAAGGCTGTTAGAAAAGGCTCATGCCACATGTAATCACGTTAGTAACGTGCCATTCATTAGCAAATCGTGTAGGAAGCATCCGAGAAGTTCAAATTTTAAGTGTGCCATAGTAAAGGACATATTTCTGTGTGTGCATTTCAGCTGTATCCTTTTGGGGCTTTCTTATGTGGCAGCTGCCAGCTAGCTGCGTAGCAGTCGAACTCGAGTTCACACAGTCTTTTATGTTCAACGGAGTAAGAACTGCAGGGTTTAGAAGGAATGCTTCTTAAACATGCGACCACTTACAGTGTTATATATTCGTTCATTTTGGACTCAAAAGGGACTTAGGTAATGCAAAGATTTCTATGACTTAAAGCTGAGCAGTGTTGAAATCTGGGTACTTTGTAATTTTATTTATATGTTACTTATGAAGATCTAAATCATTTGTCAATAATTTACTGATTCTAGTATTAAAAATAATTGTAGACAGTTATGGACTATTATGAAGTTAATTCTTAAAACAAAGTGATGTGAAAGGAGATTTTATTTCATTGTTCTTATGAGGATGTATATGCATACACATGCATGTATTTGTACAAACACATTTCCATGACAAATTGATTAACTTGTAACAATATCTGGCTTTATAAAGACAATATGTTAATATAAAAATTATAATTTTACTTAGATGCTTACTTTGTTTCATATTCCAAACATTTTGTAACTATTTTAGCATCCTTGAGTGTTACTTCCCTCTTGTATTTTTTTTTTCCGGTAGGAATATGCAGGGTTATTTCTTCATTGGTTGCTCTGTATCAAGAAGACAATCATATTGTCAACTGTTCTAACAAAATTGGAGTTTAGTTCCTTGGCAGGTACAATGTTGGAAAACTTAATATGAAACATGACCACATTGTTAATTTACTGTGTGTTTTATATTTTGGATTGTTGAAATAAAAGTTTTCATTGCCAATGGTAGGAAACTAATTTGGAAAAGCAGTGATATTTTCTAAGTTTTGTTTTGTGGATTAGCCAGTGGAGCTAATGTGCTTTCACAAATTTGCAGAGAGAAACTATTCAAGGAACTTCTGACATTGTATTTGAACATTATTACAATGTATTTACCACTAACATTGTATTTGAAGCCTGGTAAAAAATGAAATAATTGTTTGAGGAAGGAGGAAGTTTTACTTTAGTGAGCTCCTAGAGGTGGGATATTCATATATATTTTTACTTTAGTGAAATCATTATATTCCAACTCTACAAACGATTTAGTCCAGATGGGAAGGCCCGACCCTGCTCTGCAACCTGTAGAAGCAGTCGTATGTGAGGCAGGTGGAATAAATACAAGCTTTGTACAGAAACGTTTTTATTAGCAAAAATAAGGTTGAGCTTTAGTTCCACAGTGTTTGAGAGGGACAGAGTTGACGAGTGCCTTTTCCACAGTGACACAATCTAGGCACACTCATCAGAAGCAGCTCCCAGACATGCTGAGAGTATGTCTTGGGTGGAGGGAGGACTTGCTGTTCTGGCAGTTCAGAACTCTACATGTAAATTTGTCTCATTTAAAATAATAATAATAATAATAATAATAATAATAATAATAATAATAAAAGGAGTTGAAGTTGGTTGACTATGAAACAAAAGAGAAACAGTAAGATGTCTCAATGTTTCTTGATGGAAATATGCCTCTTAGAATTGCCACAAAGCCCTTGCTTGGCTCTCACGGGCTCACCCACATCTGTACGCTGCTTTCAAAGTGAGTCTTAAAACATTCTTTAGGTTTTAGTAGCTTGGGGTCCGGGATGAGCAGAATGCGTACTCACTGACGGATTTTACCCTTCTGTATCTAGCGATTGTTTGCTCCTTTCTCAACACATCCTCACTAGATAAGCTTTTTGAAAGAAGTGCTGTTGGTTGCCCCTCAGTGTTTAAAGTTTCTGCCTGAAGTACAGTTTGGGAGACCCAAGCGGTGTGAAGACACTTGCCTGTTAAAAATTTAAGTTTCAAAATATCCTGTAGCAGCTAAAAATACTGAACTTGGTCAGCATATGGCACTAGCTAGCCTCATGCCCACACACTTGTTATTGTCCTAGGGCTTAATGACAGTTGTAAGCCATGGGTGGGGGTGTGGGGCTTGGTCCTCCCTGGGGAGAAGAGGCGGAAACTGCAGTGTGGATTATGGAAATATGGATTGATCTAAAAAGAAACCTCTTTTTAAAGCAAGGGGCTCCGTCAAGGGAAAGCTCAGAGGGACCAATGAAAAGATGATGGACTATGATGTAAAAATGACCACTTTCTTTCACTCAGTGAAACACAGCTGCCGTGTTTTGGAGAAAAGAAATGCATTTGTGTATTAAGGGACAACTAAGAGAGCCAGATGAATAACAATATTTATTAGATATATTTTCATGTTGATTCAGATAAGTTATGTGCATTTTAATAGATTTTACATATGCTAGACATTTTAAATCCTGAACCGTCCAATGCTAGGATGTTCAGTGTACATACTTTAAGGAGAATACTTAATTGTGGCTCTTTTTATGCAGACCTATTTGTAAAAATATTATATATTTTCTTTAATGGATTGCGCAAGTGAATATTTTACTTAAAATATAAATTATTTTCCGTTCCCTTTGAATGGTTGTC